AGAGAATAATGTGATCATTCAGAGGTTGTTTCAGAGCTACCTATCCACACTCCCTAGGAAGGGTATCTACCCACCTTATAAGCCATATTTCAAACTTTACTGCATTAGTAATTAAAATAAATTGAGCCCATACTGTAAAAGCAATGGAAGGCCTGAGAGATACATGAAAGTACATGAAACCTGCTGTTTTTTCAAGAATCATAAATATGCCATGCTCACTTTGATGAGAGGCAGTGCTTATTCTGCACATCTAACTGAATTGATTGATAGTCTGTATACACACAGATATTATCAATTAAAAGACACAACTTGAGCCAGCACAGATACACCTTAGCTGAAATGAAAAGCAGTCTGTTACATAAACTTGCTGTATCAAACTCTTGTCCAAACATAGACCTCCATACTTCATAAATTTAAGTTGCCCTAGGCTATAAGCAGCCCACACCAAATTCTATAAATCAATACACTTTGAACATGGCCTTCAAGCAGTAAATTTAGATGGGAGTTTTTTTCTGAAGGTTGTCAGACCATTAGATGTGTGTGTACTGGCAACATTACTACTTCATTATGTAGGTTGGTGTGCTTCTCTGTGCATATCTTGTAAAAGTACAGACATTATGCATGTAAAGTATGTGGTATCAGAGTTGTGATGTGGTGGTTAGTGTAGTTGCCTCAAAGATCTTGGGTCCTAGGTTCAATTCCAACCTGGTGCTGACTATGTGAGGACTTTGAATGTTCTCCAAGTGTCCACATTGGATTTTGGCACTTGATTTGGTTTTCTCCCACAATTCTAAAACATCCCGTCTAGGCTAATTGGCATCTCTAAATTGTCCCCAACCATATGTGTGGGTATATTCTGCAATGGACTGGCTTTCCTTCCAAGGTGTATCCTGGGTTCTGGCTCATCACAAGTATGGAATGTATCAGAGTGTCTTAGATTAAAGAGAAGAAATAAGAAGAAAACACTTTGCACTACATTGCATAAATGTGAGCTTTTTAGACCTTTCTAAAACTTGGTAAAATAAGTAGTCTACTGATAGTAGATACCGACTTTTAAAGGCACTTTCAACTTCATTGAATTTATATTACAGTACTCTAACACAAGTAAGATCTTTCTTGTGTCAGCAGTCATTAAATTCAGTTCATTATATTATAAGGAAATGCACTAAAAATGGAATTTGTGTCTGTGCCTGGGAGAGAAGAGAGACATAAATCCTGCTCTGATAAAGCCTCCTTGGGCACACAAAAAAATGGAGGCTGGGGTATGAGCCGACTTATCGGAGACTGGTTTCATTGGTGCCAATGGTTTCACAGTCCAACATGCATTTAACAAATGTGTAGTGACAAAATAGGGAAGTCACAGTTTCAAAAACCTTAGAAACTAAATCCTTCCTAAAAAACATCATTGTTGCTGACAGAACATATTTGGCAAAAAAATCTCAGTGTTAACAGATTATTCCAAATAAAGAGATCCAATCCATATCTAAATAAGTCAATTTCATTACACCACATTGTACGACCTGCACTAGAATGAATCCGATGGACACCTAAACCAACACAAAATAAACAAGCAAACAAAAATGCCAGGCACCATGATCTAAAGAGAGGAATTTGTAAACACTGAAAAAAAAACAGGTTTCTGCATCTCTGAGTCCTAGACTGCGGATGCAGAATGATGAATGAGCTGTACCTCTGCAGTCAGCACCAGTGGTGAGCCACAATCATGATAAATAGCCTCCATGATAATAAATATGTACATGTCTCCACATGAATACAAACACAACCGCAACGGGTTATACTGAGAGGCTACCCAGCATCTCTGCCTGTCCTGTCGGTTCTAGGCTCACGCTGTCTCTGTAAATGAACACACCTGGAAGAGGAGGTGACTACAGCCCATGCCCAGCTGGGTTTTAATGAGAGGTCCCCGGACTAATGACCCAGCCTCAAAAAGAAAATGGCTTTTGTGAACATAACACCCTGCTGCTTACTGTAAATTGGCCTGGCACCCCCTATGCTTCAGAGATACTGTTGCACTAATAAAGACGTGCTCTGAAAGATTTCTTTGACAGCAGGGTGCGTCTATGAATTAGTGTTAACATTAAGAACTCGCTCCAAGGTTACCAGCAAGGATTTGGTTCCAGCAGTATCTCCTGCTACCAAGAGCCCCACTTCCTTTCTCTGTGCTATTTTTGGGATACTGAAAATATCAATACACACAAAACATTTTTTATTATTATGTAACCGATCCATTCACACAATGGGGAAATCAACAACATCCTGAATTCTCAGAAAATAATTACTGATGACAAAACACATAATTAAAGAGAAACTGTCAATTTTAACTAAATAAGGAAGTAGGTGAATGACAGTTTCCAAGTCTTACGTGTATGTTACATTAATGTACAGTCAGTGACCAATTAATGCACACTGCATTAAATGTATGCAGTTAGATGTAACTAACTTGGGAAACAAGTTGTCTCTTTAGCTTCCATTACTTCTCTGTGCTTTAAGACTACTGAATTCTACAATGATGAATGACATTTGTATTTTTTTCAGTTCACTACTCATCCTTTAAAAAATGCCTTGTACTGCAATAGAGTGACGGAAAATATTTAAACAGTTTGCCGCCTGACAGAAGTGTTTCAAAACCACTCCACAATTATATGTACTTGTTTTTGTGATTAAGGTAAGAAAGAGAAGAATATACTGTCAAAATTAAATTGTGTCTTTTCTTCTCTTCCTACTGATGGCTACATCACATGGACTTTTTGAAAACATAAAAATCAGGTTACATTTAATGTATGGGAGTTGCAAAATAAGTAGGACAGCTCTAACTAAAATTAGCTATAAGGTACAACATTGAAGGCATAGGGCAGCTGAACACTTCCAAATTGCTCTTACACTTGGATTGAATAATATGCTGTCATTTTTTAAGTTATTTGCATTGCCAGATTTAAAAGCAGCTATACAGTGAAGAAAAACAACATGAATAAGCGCAAGCTAGGAATTCCAGATCAGCAGTGGCCAGTGTACTCCCTGCAATACTTTTTGAATAGCAATATAATATTTGCAAATAACATTTGACAGATACAAATTAGACATTTCAGATATATTATATATATATATCACATACTGTAAATGCCACATTTATATTTGTGCTTTGGTTAAGGGTGAGACTTTATTCTTGACCCTCAGTATTTATGTTTTTTTTATTCACAGTATTTATCATTAGGATTTTGGGTTAATCACATTTTTTAGATGAAATCATTTGCTGCAGATACAGTAAATGGGAAACATTTTGCAGTTATGTTTTGTTACCAGATTGGCCAGCCATCTGAAAGAACACTACAATTTAGCCGTGTTTCACACTACGGTTTCCAGGCATTCAACTTAAAAAGTGGAACTTTAGTCTTTTTGGGGGAGGACCTTTGAATGTGAATTTTCTCCATAGATTTCTGAGAGAATGTGATGCAAGAAAAACAAGTCCCTTTTGCTCAGAGCTTGGCCTTAGGTACATTTGACACAGAAGGAAGACACTGTCTCTGTCTTCTCTAGTGTATTGCATTTTTGGCATTGTCACACAAGAATGTACAGTAGAAAATTGGGGCACACTTTAGTTTAAGTCTGCCTTATAACTATATATAAACACTTTATTAATAAGTTAATAATTGTTGTACTACCAGGAATAAAATTATTACATACTCCTAAACCTAGCAGTACAGTCTGGGCTGTTGTCAGAATTGTAACAAACATGCAATTAGTCACAATATAAGATGGTTATCATCCCATATATGATAATCTTTTAATACTTTATCAATATATTAAATTAATAAGACATTTATAAATGGCATTTAAAAATCTCTAAAGCAAAGTGTATTTCTACAAGAAGTGTTGAACTAATAATGTACAATAAAACCAACTGAACCAACAGCTACAAAAGTACAATAAAGTATTTTGGCTTATTCTTCATCAGAAGGCATTTTCAAACAAAGTCAAAGAACACAGAGAAGCTATTCGTGTGAATTTTAGTTGTTTATGCGTTAATAAAAGTTAAAAAAAAAATCCCAAAAGCAGAACGGATTAAATAAACATGTCAGCTGTAAAAGGTAAGGACCTAATTACATAAACAGAAAAAAAATAATTCCCGCAGAATTTCTGGTATGTGAAGTCTGCAGACCACTTAGCTAGGGACTCCCTTCATCAACAGTTCAAGGATGCCCGGCACTGATTTCTCCACAAGTTAGGTTGGTTAAACTGTCCTTGTACTCTCTTTAAACAGCCCTACAGGGTTTCTGCTTTGAATCACCCCATTGACCCTGCCCCCAACCCCAACCCCAACCCCAACCACCCTACTCCAGTCTTTGTGGAGTTCAAAAAAATGTAATGGGGGTGCTGACAGGATCTTTGACTAAGACAGAAAGGAGCCTTTTCTTCTGGAAGGGCAATACAGCATACTGTACACAGGTCAGCAACGACAAACTGCATGGTAGGTGGTGCCAGTGTGTGCCCCCTGACAGCACGCGTACAGGTTTGTGTCCGCGCTTGCGTTGTGTGGCATATCAGAGCTGTCTTAGCCATGCCGCATGGCCTCCTGAGTGTATTGTTTGTCATCGACCTCCCGTTCCTCATCAAGTATGCACGGATCCCCTTTTCACAGGGGCAGGCCAGAAGAAGCAGTGTGTCAGATTCGTGAAAGAAACTGATTCTCCCCTCCACAAACGCACATTCCCCTCCCTCCCACACACACACACACACACACCTCCTTTACTCCGCCTCCCCACTGCTACACCGCCTCTGATTTTGAACAACTTTCTTCTGACAAATTAGGATCTTTTCTGCTCGGCTACAGCCTCGACGGGTACCCATGACACCCCCTTTCCCTCCCTACCCCTCTTGAGAGGCCAACTAAAATAAATCATCACCTAAAGAAGGAGGAGCGCTGGCTACAAGTGACCCCAAACAGCTGGTCCTTTTATTATTCCGGACTCTCCTTCACTTACCTCTTCCCAGCGCTCGGCTATGCGGATCATCGGAGTGGGTGCTTGGCATGTATAATCGATGACTCCTTGTCTGGGCCACTGGAGGGATGCTGTAGCTCAGTAGTTCAACACTGCAACAGATAAAACAACAGAGAGAGAGAGAGAGAGAGAGAGAGAGAGAGAGAGAGAAAAGAGATTAGAATAATCAGGGCTTTAATTAATTTTCTTTTTTCTGAGAGCTACCATTCTTGCCAGCCCGCAATTCATTTCACTCAGACTTCGAAGTCTACTGTTTAAGGAAAAATAAAAATAAAAAGAGAGGACAGGCTCATTTACAATTTGCAATCAAAAGCCCACTGTGCTTGCCTGTCTCTCCGTTGCCTGCTCTTTTTTTATAAATCAGAGCATGTGCAGAATATTGATGTCAAGGTTTGTGAGTGGCACTGGAACAAGAATGACTTTCTGGCCTCTTTATTCTGCAGTTTGTGTTGCCAATTCCCACTGGGCTACACTAGCTGAAATAAAGCGAGTCTAATTAACAGAGAAGGTCGCAAGGACAGCAAAACAACTCCCAACAAATGGCCTGCGAGTCTAGAAGACTTAAGGTCTGAGCACAAGGGGGGGTGGGGGAAGATGACAAGTTTATTCAGACGCCAAGAGAGGGAACAGTAATAATTAGAAAGCAGTTTAAGAAAGAAGGATGCTTCAGTTCTAATAGAATGTTATGGAAATTGTAGATCTGGGTAACTGCAACTACACTTAAGGAAAAAATTGAATTCCATGCTTGTTTATATTGCTGTATAGCATTTTGTACTTTTAAGTAGGGCTTTAAAGTTACACTTTATAGATGCATTTTTTTTTATTTTATCAAGAGAACCTCATGATGGTGTTTTTGGCTGCATGTCTGCCAGTTTCTATGAACTTCATAGAAACGTATTCATAAATTACAATAATTTTATTACAAACTCTCCCCGGATTATTAAAAAAAAACCTAAAAATCAGAGTAAATAAAGCTTCTAAAAGTCTACATTTAATTTTAACTCATTAAAAACATTGTTAGAAACAAATAATAAATGACTGATTCCTTTACAAAGGGCATTTCAAATAATTTTACTCAGTTTGGAAATCTCCCCCTCTACCATTGGCCATCAGTGTATAATTCCCTTCCAGAAAAACTATACTGGATGAGATCCGTATCAGATCAAATTAAACTCCATGCAGACACTGCACACAGATTTCATTTAAAATCCTAAAAGGAAGGAGGAGAGAGACATATTTGCATGAAGCAGCCTGCTCCCCTGACACTTTGGCACTTCAATCAAGCCGTTTTGTATTCCTGGGTGCAGAAATGCAGACGGGCTCCTTGCAGGAGAGTATAGGGCTTGTTGCCTGGCTTTGAAACTCACTTCATTTCGGGTTTCACTGATTAAATCAAATCTCCAGGGATGACAGAGCCACCCACAACACTTTCATTCACAACAAACACCGTTAACCACAAGCATGTCTTCCCCTACATGAGTATTCTAAGGGCCTGACAAACTCACTGTCCCTCATCCTATCTTTCTCTTCTGGATTTTGCACTGTAAAATGATGGTGTGATGGTTTGCCTGATTCACACAGTCCTACATCTGCCAAAAGAAATAAGTGCAAAATACTCTTGATGAGCACGGGAGAGAGGAGCGAAAACAACTACACCCTACTGAGGTAAACATCTTCAAATAGATACACTGGACTATTATACTGCATTCCAGAGCCTTTGTGAGCAAACCTCTGCTAGAAAAACTGTTATTGAGAGCTACAACACAATCTCTGGAAGATCATAGAAAATCTGTACAGTGCATTTCCATGTTTACACTATATCAACCTTTATGTTGATTATTCACAGATAAATGATTATTCACAGAGAAAATATTTAGTAAACATTTTCTGAATATACTGTACCTGTTTAAAATTCAATAAAACTTTAAATAAAAATATGTAACATGCTATTGCTTTTTGGACTTCCCAAAAAGACATACACCTAAGCTGCTAGAGTAGAACTGCAGAGTTCTAATGCTAAATAATTGAAATGCCTTCAGAGGCTGGTAAGATGAGCTTATGATGTTCAAGTGCACTGAACCCATCAGTCTAGCAAGGTTTAAAAGAATGCATAGGTGCTCAGAGCTGTTATGAACTGCTCTTTGTGTGTGTGCTTGTGTGCTCATCTTCTGAACCCCTTTTTCTCTGCCTACCTCTGAAAACCATTAATGCCTGAGCCGCATAATTATTCCAATTAATTAAAACAAGCCTTTCACAGTTGCAGATCAGAACAAAATCACGCTGTAGGGAGCAGTCAACCGTGGGGTTAAAATCGGCTGCAGTTAAATTTTGCATGCTAAGAGCCATTTGAATACACATCTGTTCTAAAAAAATTAATCTCTAAGGGCTCAATTAATACATTTCTGTTTCTTTGTATTTCCACATACAGTAAACAGATGACATGTCGGTGTGTTTATAGTTATACAGATATACAGAAGTCACAACAGGATCTGTCACAATACTGTACCTGCAGCAAACGATTATAAGTTTTTTATTTCCTTTTTCTGCTTGATGTCAGTGCCATTGGGAAATAACGATTCTAATTAATACATTGAGAATTTGAAGAATTGTGTTTGTAGACATGAAAGTACAACCATAAATACAGTATAAACACACATCCCAATGATAATATAGTGACTTTGTGCAATTTCTACCCATTGTAGCGCAAATCTTAATTTATCTTAAATGGACAAATCTTTTTATAGAAGAAATTCAACCAAGAATAAAATAAAAAATATACAAAAATAATCAGAGCTTCTTGTTTGCATTTTAGAAGCTCCATTGGGAACTTTACTGTATGTCTTAAACACTGCTTATTTACCTATTCCATCAATATCCCTATAATCCCAGAAAAAAAGCTCTTCTTGTCTTTCAAACAACCATTAACATCAGAATTATGCACTTAGGTACAGTATTTTTAGAAACCCAAAGTGCCTTTACTTTCATTGCTTTAAAGATCTTCTGGAGATAAAAAATATGTCAGTTAATGTCAGGTCACTGGGAAGAATGCAGAGAGGTTTCACTTACATCACTTTTCAAAGCTACAAATACAATTCAGTTGCAGTTTTCTTATTAATAACTGAGGAGGCAGCAGCAATTTTAATAATAGTTATGTACTGTACAGATAAATTCTACATACAGTATACTGGTATGATATAACATTACAAAATGGCCACAGAAGACACACAGCTGCTAGAATAGTGTTCTGTATCTAAATCTTTCCAAAAGGTGTTGCCTGGTTTGTGTTTCCTGCATTTAACCTTAGAAATGTGAAAAGAGGAATTAACATTTTCTTCTGAATTAAATTTTAACCCAGAACTATAATAAACCAGCTGCATGCACTTATTATTATTATTATTAGCACTTATGAAACATGCTTACACATAGTAGATACTACATTACATAGAATTATTCTCAATTCGGGGCTCAATTACACACGAGAAAATGGGGAAAAACAAATTCAGTTTCAAATTATGAAGCAAACTACTATTAAAAAAATGCAAAATATATCTTTCAACCGGTTTTGAAAACAAATAATTGGAAAGCACTGCAAATCATTTCCAGCTTTATTTATTCGTATTCAAAGATAAAATCTTAAACGAAAGTAAGCTTTCCGAGGAACAGGATTTTATCTGACTTTTTCATCCATTTTTTTTCTAAAAACATAAAATTGAGATATTTTATGCGATGTTCCTTCCCCGTAACTGAACACAAAAGGCGCTGTGTAAAATATTTGTATGTGTTGCTGCTTGTGCCCATCCTTGTTGTCATAATATCAACTATAACTACAAAGTTTTCCATTGCAAAGGTAAGAGAAGATGCAAAAACATTTGTCTTCATGACTGCAGTTTTTCCAGCCAGTTTGCTGGCTTCCAGGCAGCAGCTCTGTAACTCGTTACACCTCACTGCAAAGGAGCCATGGGATTTACTCTCAAACCTCCATGACCAGAGAGCTGGTACAGTCTATTTTTTTCTTAATGCATTTTAGATGTGAACACTGCTTGTCAGGCTGCACAAAGCCAAACAAACAGCCTATTATAATGCTGTGAAGTTCAATCAGAGCCGGTTTACACCCCCAGTGGGAAGCTTCAGTTCTGAACGACTTTCCAAAACTGGTGGGACTCTATCGAACCAGTAAGGCAGCTTTTCTTCAGCAGCATAAATCGATTTCATGATAAACAGAGCCTTAAAGTAGCAGCAGTTTAATTCCTTCTGTTATCACTCCAAAGTTATTGATTCAAGAACTCTTTCTTGTACTTAAGCACCCAATTAGATAGTGGTGAATCTTTCAGCAGGTCTGTGTTAATGAATGGCGGCATTGTCTTGGTCATAAGAATCTCCCCCTGTTCTCAGTGTCTTTTAGCTTTTCGCAAAACTGTGCTTGTAGACAGCACAACCAGCAGGCTTCCACATTTATCTAACAATTGACCAGTCTTTCTATTTCAATCCTATGTTTCTAGGATTGAAGACATAACCATACACTACAAGACATTATCACTGGTTACTGCTTCTCTTAAGGGACTCATAATTGATATATAAAACAATTCAATTCAATTTAAAAAAGACACAAGAAATTCAGCTACAAGGTCAGAATATTTTATGCGTTGTTCAAAGGGTTGTTTTATCTTTTGACCTGCTTCAGTTGGCAATGTGAAAGAGTAACAAGAAAACCTGGAAGAAATCTTGCAACATGAAGACCTTGAGCAGGTAAACACCATCAGGTCTTATCTGCTTTCAGGTCACAAGTCACAAATCCTCATTTATATAATCCCTTATTTGAGCAGACTGAAAAATCCCATTTCAAAGATCCATAACTCCTCAAGCCTTATTAAATGAATGAGATATCTTGTCCTCTCACAAGAAGAAAAGAAAAAATTAAGATGCATTGTGAGTGACTAACCCTGACCTGTACCGATATGTTCCAGGATATTCAAGTTTGTTATGCAGGAACCCTTAGACATCCTTTATTAGCATTAATCGATGTCTTGTGCCTAAGTAGATTCTCCAGGGAATCAGCTCCTTCCGTAGGCCAGTAAGCAGTTCAAAACATACT